ATGGTAACTTCATAAAAAGTGACTGAGTAGTGACTAAGGAAGCCAGGAAGGCATCTCTAAGAACATGACGTCTGAGCTGTGACCTGAGAGAGAAGAAGCGGTGAGCCACATGGGGAACCTTCAAGGCAGAGGAAACAATAAGTGCAAAGGCCATGAGGCACATTTGAGGAATGAGCAACAGGCCAATGTTTCCAAAGAGTATTGAGCCAAAGGATAGAAGGTACAAAAAGAGATGACAGAAGGGAAGTTCAAGTCATAAAGGGCCTTGTGGGCTCAGATGAGCAGAGCACAAGGAAGGGGTTGTCTGTAGTGCAGTGTCAGAGAATGGTCCCTGAGGCTGCTGCAAGGGGGTGAGTGGAAGCATTGTGTGGGAGGCTAGTCACAGCACCTGGAGCTGTCTGGGGTAAACAAGGTAGAGAAAGAAGCAAATCTGCTTATATTTTGGAAGTGGGCCTTGTAGGACTTGCTGACAGGCTATGGACAGCAGTAATCCAGGATCGCCCTTGGGTTTTGGGATTGAGAGGCTGAATGGACACTGTGTCACATCGCTGGCATCAGTAGACCCTCAGTCACAGGCATTAAGTCCAACAGCCCTTCCAGTCTTCTAACATCTCCCTGCCTACCTTATAAACACCAATGAAGACAGATTTGTTCTTCCATTCAGCACATATTTATTGATTGCTTGCTACAGGCTACGTTTAAAGTAACATGACTATTTGGTTAATTTTAGTATGGTTGTTTGAAAGAGCTTAAATTGGAGCCCACTTAATCAGTAATCTAAGCCACCGATGAAATGAATTCTTTTCTTAGCATCGGGAAGCTATTTACAACAAATGAAGATGCCTTAGCTTCACGCCAGCTGTGAGCAAATAGTTTTGGTTCTCAATTTGTAATATTCTAGAAATTTGTAGGAGATAGCCAGGATAAGGCTAGGGAATGCCTGGCCCTTGTCAAACTCTGTCCAGCTGCACAACTCAGCTCTCAACTGAAAATGTCGTTGGAGAAGAAAGGCACACGTTCAAGGGATTCCTCTGGCATTTGTCATGGTGTCTGTTAGGGAGGGATGGACTCAGTCTGATCAGCTCTTTAGAACTGACCATGGGTACAGGTCTGAGTAGGCTCCACACAATGTTCTTAAATACTCAAACCTCCAACTGAGATCACCACTTAGGAAACCTTCAGTCGTATGGAGCTATGCTCATGAATTATCTGAGACCCTTCATAACTGAAGCAAAAGAAAAATGAAGCCTGTTTAAGTGGCTTAAAAAAATGAAATCTTCACCAACTTCTGACCAATTTGGACCCTAAAACTCATACACTTGGTTGTTGTATTCCACCCATGCATGAATTCTGAGTTATTCAAGTGTACAAATATTCCTACTCTCTTGGGATTATCATTTTAAGAGCCTTCAGATAAACAGGTACACAGTCATTGACTGAGCTTGGCTCACTTCCAAATGGCAGAAGCCTCATCTAGACTTTGAGCATTTTCAGCTGCCATTTGTGGATATTTCTGCTTGTTTCCACACGAGTGAGGGTGGAATCCCAAGCTCCCGTCCCAGGTTCACTCCTAGCACTGGCTGCAGCTGCCCTGGAAAGCCACCTACTTTTCATCCTTGAGTGGTTCACATACGCTCCCTAAAACACCCCAGATGTCACCTCCCAATACCCCCCAAATGATGGCTATTATACCAGAGTAATAAAGTATCAGGCAAATGTTTTTTCCTATTGCAGGGAATTTTGCTGAGGTATTAGAGGAAACGTCCCTACCACACCTAGCAGCCAGAGTCAGCCACTTCCCCACAGGGTTGATAGAGAAGCACCAGTCCAAGAACCAGAAGTTCTACTCCCTAACCTACCCACCTCTACCCCCATCCATTATACGATGAGCAAGTGGGAGAAGGGAAGATGGTCTCCTCTCTCCAAACTCTGGACAGGAAGAGAGTGTTGGCTCTCTCTTCCTCTGTCTAAATAGACCCTCCCCAGGCTGAACAAAGGGAAAGAGAATGGAGAGAAACGGCAGGGCTGAGGGGAGCAGTAGAGGGCACCCTGTACCCTCCCCATTCGGCATGAGTGTCCAGTGGAGGGAGAGGAACATGGAAGGTCACTAAGACTGACTGCCTCTCTGACAGCCCTCCCCAGAAAGAGCCACCTGCTGGGTGGGGGATTGCTGCTCCCTCGGCCCAGACCATTGCTTTACACGGGCTCCTTCTGGTCATCCATTGCTCAATTCAAACATCATCTCTTCAGAGAGGCCATTGCCCTCTGGATCTTATGCTCCAGAACAAGGGTATTCATTCATTTGGGGGAAAACGTGGAGCATCTTGGAAAGTGCATCTTAGGTGTTCATGTTATCATTGTAGACAGAGGTAGACCTCCATAGCCCATTTTCCAGCCTAGAAAACCTGGCTATTAGAATACCAGGCTTCCTCCAAGGTGTCTGAGAAATAAAAGGGTAGAAAGTGACTAAGATAAAGGAAGTACTGGGGCGCCTGGGTGGCTTAGTCGGTTAAGCGTCCGACTTTCGCTTAGGTCATGATCTCACGGTTCGTGGGTTCGAGCCCCGCGTCGGGCTCTGTGCTGACTGCCAGCTCAGAGCCTGGAGCCTGTTTCAGTCTGTGACTCCCTCTCTCTCTGACCCTCCCCTGCTCACGCTGTCTCTCTCTATCTCCTAGAAATAAATAAAAAAAAAAAAAAAAAGATAAAGGAAGTACTTATGGATATTTCAGTGAGAAGAGTCAAATAATTTAAATACTTAAGAAAGTGGAGAGGATTATTAGACAATTCATAGGTAAGAACATCTCCATTCTCACCATCAGAGATTTTGCATGTGGGGAGGGACAAGTGATATTTGCTGCCCCCCTCCAATTTTTCTTCTTACCAAGAAACTGCAATCACCTTTATCAGAATGAAATTTTTTTAAGCTTATTTATTTTTGAGAGAGTATGTGCACACGTGAACACAGGGGAGAGGCAGAGGGAGGGAGAGAGACAGAATCCCAAGCAGGGCCCACACTGTCAGCACAGAGCCCAACACAGCACTCAAACCCATGAACCATGAGATGATGACCTGAGGTGAAACCAAGAGTCAGTCGCTTAACCAGCCAAGCCACCCAGGCATTCCCCCAGGATGAAATACTTTTTAAAACTTGTATTTTGTGTAGGCAACTGAAATATCTGGTGGGTTTTTGTTTTGTTTTGTTTTGTTTTGTCTGACTCTTTAACCACAAGCTTGAGGCTAAAATTTGTACTTTGAAGGTAAACTTACCAGGCCCAACCTCCAGGTGAGATTGGCTTTGTGCTACTATCATTTCAGTGTTTGCTGCCAATTAAAGATTAGGCAAGTCCCACTGAAGAATGCCTTTTCCATACGCTTTATCATCTCTCAACCACAGACATATAACTCTACATCACATTAGTATTTTTTCATGTCATGTCACTGCCATCACGTTGTTACCACATTCCACAAATGCTAATCATGGTTTCTGTGGACAATTTAAAACAATTTAGGTATTACTTATGTTTTGTGTTGGAGGCAAGAAGGCAAGCCATGTAAAAATCACAGGAGTGTGTGTGGAAGAGTTTTATATATTACATAGAAACAGATTCAGTATGCACATGCAAATATAGACTTGAAAATAATGCATACCAACATGTTCAAATGTGAACCTTTTAACAGGACTTTGTGGGAGGGGTCAATATGACGTTTACTTTATATAATGCCTACTCTACAAGTAAGGCACATTTTAGTCTTTTTTAAAATGCACTAACTTTTCCTCCCATATATTATTTTGTATAGACCAAAAAAGTAATCATCAATGATAAAGTATGGGATAAAGAACAGGAGTTGATCAGTTGCATAAGAGTTAGATAAAATGCTTAGACCTTTGAGCGTGCCTACCGAAATTTTTCAATAACTGGTTTCTTGGTTTGGCCCTTCTTCATACACATTCATTAAGAATTTAAGTTCTGCTTTGATGTGATAACCAATTCTTTTTGACTGAGCGGAATATTATTTTGATGTTAGTATTTAGATTTTATTTGTAATACAAGGGAGGCCAAAAGAAGATTTGGATAGTACACACATTACTAATTTCTTTAAAATGTATTTAGAATCTACCAGATTTGTCAAAGGCATTCTTTTTCTTTAAGTTTATTTATTTATTTTGAGAGAGAGAGAGAGTGGGGAGGAGGGATGGAGAGGGAAGGGGAGAGAGAGAGAGAGAGAGAATCCCAATCAGGCTCTGCGTTCCCACAACGGAGCTAGATGCAGGGCTGGGACTCATGAACTGTGAGATCATGACCTGTGCTGAAATCGAGAGTTGAACAGTGAACAACTGAGCCACCCAGGCGCCCTTCTACAAAAGCATTCTTAAGCTCATTGCAGATGAACAGGGAAAATGTTGACTATCATACTTTTGTCTCTTGCACGACAGCCATGCTAGCATTTTTGTACAATGCAAACTACTAATTTGGCTGACATTCCATGTTAAACACATTAGATTACTTTGTGAGGTCACTCTCAGTCATATGTCTGGTTAAATCCTACCCTACCCTGTGCTTCCTTATCCCCTTCTCCTCTGTTTTCTTTTTCTACATAGCATTGACCGCAATCTGATACATGATTTGCATTTTTTAATTACTTGTTGTCTTTCTTTCCCTTGCATGTTCTCTAGGAGGGCAGAGACTTTTGCTAGTTTTGTTCATTGCTTCCCCTGCTCCTAGAACAGTGCCTGGCATATGGCATTGGAGACAACCAACAAATAGTTGTTGAATTCATGAGAGACACAATGAACATGGGCTTTATCACCAGGGACAGGTTCAATACTGACTAACCCTGCTTACCGGTTGCAAGCTAGGAAAATTCTTATTTTTAAGTCATAAATAGCTTTTTATGTCTCTGATCTCCCTCTCCCTCTCTTTCTCTCTCTTTCACACACATACATATAAAATAATATATGATTATTATAAAATATTCAGAAATACAGAAAAATATGGAAAATGGTAAAAAAATAATAATAACTCCACCTCTCAGAATCTGTTAGAATTTTTCATATATAGACTCTGACTGCCCATGTTGGCTTCCACTCATGAGAAATTGCAAACAAAGTAGCCATTTGGTGGAACTGTTAGAGATAATGTGTAGAAATCAGCTGTCCCTTAGTGCTATTCTTTATCTGGATGGAAGACAAGCATGTATTCACCTCCAGACGCATAGGACACACTATTATTTTGAGACAAGTTCAAGAGAATTTAGCTCCAATTTCAGAGATTGATAAGAATTAATATTGTAGAAGATGGTCATCATTAGAGATTCCCATCCCAAGAGGTAACATCTAATGCTGCTGGTAATAATCAGGTGGGAGGAGGAGAGTCTTCTTATCTCCTTCAAAAGATAAATACGTATGGCAACAAATTAAGCAAAAATTTTAAATATTTATTATGTGTCTGGCTCTGTGTTTATTGCTTTCAGGCATCTTTGCATTTTAGCTTCACAATAACCATGTTACTATTATTATTCCCATATTAAGAATGAAATGGAGGCTTATAGAGAGCTAGGCAGTAACCTGTCCAGCTCATACGGCTTGAAAGTAAGGAAACTAGAATGTAAATCCTGGATCTGGTGTCAGAGTGCTCATTCATAGAGCATTTCAGAACAGCATCCAGTACAAACATTCAACAGGGGCCCGCATGCAAGGTAGAAGGATGCAAAATAAGAATAACGTCCAGAGGATCAACGATATGGGTCGTGATCAAGAGGCACGAACATACTGTTCCATTCTGCTATCAACTTCCAGTAGGATTAATCATTCCGTGGGCTTTTATTGATATGAATTTGCCCTTTAAATCCCAATCATAACTAGGTGAACCGATGAAAATACTGTTCCTCGGACTCTGAAGTTCCGTTTCTGACCTTGGACCCATCATGACTCGACTCAAATGCAGGTCCCTGCTGGGGCCAAGAAAGGGCAGCCGCTCTATCTCAGCAGCAGCCTCAGTGTCGTTAAGACATTCCATATTCTCCAGCTGGTTTTTGTTACCTGATAGAGAGATTGGAAAATATGTAGCTATGTTAAAAAAAAATGTTATGCAGTGATTAGAATTTAATTTCTGACATGTTAGTTCACCTTTGGTAATCTAATGGAAGGATCATCGGACTGGCTGGGCATGCAAAGATCACACCAATGACCAGTCTGGTTAGAAGCTGGAGCATTCTGGAAGAACTCCAAACGTTTCCTCCCCTGCTTTGCAGCTTGAGGCTATTTTCACCCTCAAGACTCTGAACACACATCCTATTGATTATTTCTTGCTTCACCAAGATTCCAGAATCCTGATTTCTAACATTAGTCCAGGACCCTGCCTGCAATTCCTCATGACCTCCTTTGCTTGAATGCTTGCTGTTAGTGTTCCTGACCTTGTGCCACACCTCACTGTACACAGATTGAGAAATTGGACTTTTTTCTGACATTGCACACCCAGAAGGAAGAAATATTTTTGAAAGAAATAAAAGAACTTTAGCGTCAGACTGACTTGGACTGTAATTTAAGTCCTACATTCACTAGCTATGCAGACTTCGACGTCTTGTCTTGAGAACCAATTTTTTTGCCCCTGTGAAAATGGGGGAAGTACCTCTTATCCCACTGACTTGTTGGGACTAAATGGAACCATAAATGAGCAAAGGTCTGTGGCAGTCCTGAGACATTTTAGGCTCTCTGTCTTCTTAGCCTTTGTTCTCAGACCTGCCCGCATGATTTTCTAGACCACAGGTCAGCAAACTATTTCTGCAAGGGACCGAAGAGTTAATATTTTAGGCTTTTCTGGACAAACTCAGTCACAAAGGCTCACTCAGACCAGTAAAGCTCATTACTATGTAAATTTCGGCTAGGGCTGTACATGAGTACGGCATTCCACAATCCAACTGCAACCCAGTTCTGTAGTTCAGTGACCACAAAGGTTTCTGACTTTTTCTGTCTCTCTTGTAAGCCTTAGGTACAAATAAAAAGCAGTTCCTTTGTATCTCATTCTGCTTTTGATTTAGAGGAAAACCCCACAGTGGCTCCAGGATGGCATCAATTATCCTCAAATCAGCCCAGCTTTAGAGTCTTAGGAGAGAATTGCTAGTATATACGATTTCTACTACTCACAGAATGACTTCTTTTGTGACAACATGGGGTGGTGGGGCACAGGGAGAAAGCTACTCTCGGCATATTTTTAGTCACGAATTCAAACCATCCAGAAAAACAGTCAGAGAAAGGAAAGCATGCTTATGCCTTAAAAGATTTATATAAACTTTTACAAAGAAAACAGAGATCACAGAAGAGTGTGACTTGACTTTTCACCTTTAAAGAGCCGGCACACATTAAGTCTGGTTACGCAATGCCTCCTCGAGGCTCAGCTAAAAAGTAACCCTAGCTGGTCTGAGATCAGTAGCAACTACCACAGCATTTCTTTCTTCCTTCCTGGTTATACAGTTCGTCGCGGCTAGTGCATAGCCCTGGAGATAACACTGAGGCAAAGAAAAAAGCTGATGTCTTAGGTTTAAATTTTTTTATGTTTATTTATTTTTGAGAGAAAGAGAGCACAAGCGGGGGAGGGACAGAGAGAGAGAGGGGACAGAGAATTCAAAGCAGGCTCTGCACTGACAGCAGTGAGCTCAATGTGGGGCTCGAACTCGTGAACTGTGAGATCACGACCTGAGCCGAAGTTGGATGCTCAACCCAGGCACCCTATCTTAGGTTTCATATAATGATAAATAAGAAGTAGTGTGACTAGTCTCAGAGAAACTATCTACCAAGTACCTTCTCAACACAATGAACCTCTGAAAGAATCCCTCAAGATCCATTTTGCATTTAAAGATACTAGGGCTCAGAGAGTTTAGACTTCAGCCCAAATTCATCTAAATGTCAGGTTATCAAACTGGACTTGAAATCCCCTATTTCTCAGCTGTAGATGATAACTCTGCTTGTACCACACCAAGATGCCCTTTTCAGAGACTAGGAAAAGAATTATAGCATTTATATTCATAGGAAATCCTACCCTCTCTTTACTTTGTTTTCTAACTAGAACTGATTTTACTTGATCACCAGCCCTTGAAAACAGTGTCCTTAATTCAACTATGCCTAATACATTTCTGTTTAAATAACCATGTCAGCTACATTGTGGGTTATACAGGCTTTTCTGGACTAAACTGAAAATGTATCCACCCTTTAATTGCTGAGGAAACCTATGCATCCCAAATTGCTGAAGAAACTCACTTACTAATATACATTTAGAGTAATGTTCAATTACATAGTATAGATTTCCAATGTCAATGAGTAAATATTGCCAGAGTCTTACATAAGTTATTAACATTTCTGCATTACATTTACATCCACTCATTTTTGTTAAACTTCTAATAGTTCTGAAGGGCTGTGGCTTATGATTAGGAAAGATGGGACAGAAAGTTAAGATCAATGTAAATCTCAGACTTGGCTATACCTGAGAATCACCTGGAGATCTTTAAAACATATAATGTCTGGGTCTAATGCTTAGAGATTCTATAATATTTGAGTTGAAGCCTTGGTATCAGATATCAAGCTTCCTGGGTAATTCTAAAAAGCAGCCAAGACTGAGAAGGAACAAAAAGGAAACAATTAAAAATACCCCATAGGAAAAAACTTTACCCCATAGAATGTACAGCACCAAGAGTGAATCCCAATGTAAACTATGGACTTACCATGTGTCAGTGTAGGTTTGTGAACTGTAGCAAATGCACCAGTCTGGTGGGGGTTGATAAAGAGAGAGGTAGGCATGTGTGGGAGCAGGAGGCATAAGGAAGATCCCTCCAGCTTCCCCTCAATGTTGTTGTGAACCTATCTAAAGTGGCTCTAAAGCAAAAGTCTTTCATTTTAAAAAGCATACAAAATAAATATTTTAAAAAGAAAAAAAATTTCTTCTTCAATTTTGTTACAGGAAATATGTAAATAAATATAAATATATATGGAAATATGACTAGAAAAATATTTCGTGAAGATAATAATTTAAGCAGTTCTTTTCATTTTAAAGACTTTTTATATGACATGAGAAAGCACACTTAAAAACCCATGCCTGCCATGTGCTAGAAATTTTCTAAGTGCCTTCCATCTGCTATTTCATGTAGCCAAAATCATACCGAAAGAAAAATGTATGCTTCTAAGTGTATATATTGGAAAATAAAGAAAACTGAAAGTAAATGGATCTAGCACAAAATTCAAGAAACCAGAAAATAACAAATGAAATCAAAGGAAAAGGTAACGATGGAAGGAAATAAGGAAGATAAAGGCAGAAACCAACGAAATGAGAAATTGAAAGAAAAAATGAATAGCAATTAAAAATAAAAATTAAAAATGCTCAGTTGGTAGAGCACATGACTCTTGATCTCAGGATTGTGAGTTCAAGCCCCATGTTGGGCATGTAGCCTACTTAAAACAAATAAATAGAGGAGCACCTAGGTGGCTCAATGTATTAAGCATCCAACTTCAGCTCAGGTCATAAACTTGATCTCAGGGTTGTGAGTTCAAACCCCATGTTGGGCGTATAGCCTACTTAAAACAAATAAATAGAGGAGCACCTAGGTGGCTCAATGGATTAAGCATCCAACTTCAGCTCAGGTCATAAACTTGAGGTCTATGTGTTCAAGCCCCACATTGGGCTCTGGGTTCACAGCTCAGAGCCTGGATCCTGCTTCAGATTCTGTCTCCCTGTCTCTCTGCCGTTTCCCTGCTCATGCTCTGTCTCTCTCTGTCTCTCAAAAATAAATAAACATTTATAAATTTTTAATAGATAGATATCTTTAAAGAAAGGAAAAGTTGGAAAGAAATAAAATTACTCAACCTAATCTGGCAAACAATCACACCAAAAGAGATAATGATAAGTAACTTTAAGGATAAAATAGAGTCTGTAGTTACAAATGAAGCAGGGAATAAAACCACTTGAAGAGCATACTAGTCAGTAAGCTTAAAAATCTACATAATTTTTTCTGATAGTTTTCTAGAGAAACGCAGATTAAGATTAGTTCAAAAAGACTTAGGATACTTGACTAGTATGATAACCATAGGAGAAAACAAAGAGGAAGCTAATCATTTACCTTGAATAAGGACACCCTTTTCAAAATGAAAGATGTGTTTTTTCCTCTTTCCCTCCTAGGAAGGAAACTTCCTAGAAGTCCTGCATCCCACTTCTGCTGCCATCTCATTAGCCAGAACGTAGTCACATGGCCAAAGGGATTTGAAAAATGTCATCTTTACCTGGAAAAGGAAAAGGAAGGGTGGAATAGAAATACAAAGTGATATTCAGAGGTGGCTAGAAATATCTCCTACAAGCAGCAACAATCGGCTAGATAAAATAATGGGAAAAAAGATATAGTTGGGTTTTTCTTTAATGTTTATTTATTTTTGAGAGAGAGAGAGAGAGAGAGAATATGAACCAGGTAATGGCAGAGAGAGAAGGAGACACAGAATCTGAAGCAGGCTCCAAGCTCTGAGCTATGAGCACAGAGCCCAACACGAGGCTGGAACTCATGAACCATGGGATCATGACCTAAGCTGAAGTTGGATGCTTAACCAACTTAGTCATCCAGGCACCCCTATAGCTGGGGTTTTGTTAAGCCACAAAAATAACACATCCAATAAACGCATAATCATTGTATAAGAAAAAAAATCAAGTGCATGCACTTCCAGGTCCAAGGGGATGCCAAAGGTGGCTTTGGGGAAGGAGTGTGGAGACAGCTAGGACAGGCTGATGGGGTGGTCACATGTGTGTACGTGAAGCCCTGAGACCTTTAAAATGCTGAGACATAGGGTGTGTGGACCTTCCTTCACACTGTTGCTCTGGCCCTGTGTGTGTGAAGGATGTGTCTGGCTAGGGGGATCATGGTGGAGAGTCTTATTTTAAATAATTAGGCCAAGGAAACCCTCATTGGTAAGGTGAATGAGTAGAGAGTTGAAGGAATAAAGAGCAATCTGTATAGGTCACAGGATGAACAAGTAAGGAAATAAAACTTAAAGTAATACAGAAGAAGAAGCGAATCAACCCATCCAAACCCAAACCACATTTATGTTTATGTCAACAACAGCCATGTGAGAAATGGTTTTTTGAACAAATTCTTTGGAAATCTTGATTATGTCGTGATCTAGTCTGCTTCTCAAATGGAATTAAAATCCCCCAGCAACCTCAGTGTCCCCTGTGCCATAAGAGTGAATCCGGCAGAGCCCTGAAATGGAATGGCTGAGTGTGAGGTGAGGTCAGCAGCTATGTGTGGTGCGAGGGAGAGAGGGCTCCATGACGCTGGGCTATAATTGGCTGGTATAAATGCCAGCAAGCCAGGCTGGAAGCAGAAGGAGAGACTGAACCCAGTAATCTCAGTGGCAGAAGTTACATTAGCATTTCTGCCCATTAGTGAGAAGCACAGAGTTCTTTATAAAACAAACTTCCAGCAGAACAGTGTTGGCACATTGAATGCACTTATTCTTTTAAAAAGCCCACCAGTTAGGGGTACCTGGGTGGCTCAGTCAGTTGAACATTCATATCTTGATTTTGGTTAGGGTCATGATCTCACAGTGGAGGGGTTGAGCCCTATGTCAGGCTCTGCACTGAGCATGGAGCTCGCTTGGGATTCTCTCTCTCCATCTCTCTGCCCCTCCCCATTCCCCTCTCAAAATAAATGAGCATTAAATATATATATATTCATAAATAAAATATAAATAATAAAAATATAAATAATATATATACCAGTTAATTAAACTGTGATTACAATTATGTGGCAAAAGCAAAAAAAGAATGAAAACTGATAACAAGTAAAATGATAATAGTTGCCCTTGGTTGTTGGGGTAGCCTTTTCTACATTTCTAAACTTTTCTCTTGCATACTCATTAATTTCAGATTTGAAAAAATAAACTAAGACAATCAATTAAATTGTTAGGCCTTATGAGCCTGCTAAGATAGATAATTAGGAGATAAATATATATTTTTAATTTTTTTTAAGTTTATTTATTTATTTTGGGAAAGACAGAGACAGTGTGCATGTGGGAGGGCCAGAGAGACAATCCCAAATAGGCTCCACACTGCCAGCACAGAGCCCAATGTGGGGCTCAAACTTACGAAACCAAGAGATCATGACCTAAGCTGAAACCAACAGTCAGATGCTTAACTGACTGGGCCACCCAGGTGCCCCAGAAGATAAATATATTTAAATCAGTACTTGCCCTATATTGTCAATAATCAATTACAATGATGATTTGGAAGGAGATGCCACAATATATATATTTCACCCAAGAATAAAATTAACAAGAAATGTGCAAGATCTATGTTTGTAAGGTAACAATATATATATAAAATATATATATATATGAAGAAAAATATTTATTTTCTGCATGGGACACCAAATACTATAAAAATGCTATAAAAATCCACATTAGTGGATTAAAATGCAATTTCAGTAAAAAAAAAAAAATCCAGTTAGGCTTCCTTAAAACCTGATATGGGAATTCTAAATTCATCGTAGAGAAGAAATTTGTTTAAAAACGAAGAAAAACTAAAGAATAACAAGGAAAGGGACACCTGGGTGACTCAGTCAATTAAGCATCTGACTTTGGCTCAGTTCGTGATCTCATGGTCCATGGGTTCAAGCCCGTCTGGGGCTCTGTGTTGACAGCTGGGAGCCTGGATCCTGCTTCAGATCCTGTGTGTGTGTCTCTCTCTCTGCCTCTCCCTTGCTCGTACTCTGTCTCTCTCTCTCTCAAAAAAAAATAAACATTTAAAAAAAATAACAAGGAAAGAGTTGTCTTTCTAAAAGTCCTGTAAAACTGCAGAAATTATAACAGAAAAAAACGAAGGAGGTAGAAAGAGGAGACCAGATTGTCTGAGATTGATTATCTGATATGGGGGGTATTTCAAATCCAGGAGTGACAATGGCCTGCTCCATGAACAGTGCTGAGAATGGTATTTCAGAAGTAAAAGAAACAAAGTAAGAGCTCTACTTCAAGAGTTCCTCTCTCCAACTCTGTCTGATGGGACAGATTAATGAATGACAAGTCTATCCAAGTAGTAGATGGAAAAACCAGTGATCTTTTTATAATCATAGGATGAGGAAGTCTTTCTTAAGTAAAGAGAAAATTCAGAAATCATGACAGAAAATTGTAGAATAAATTGTAGACAAAAGATTAATATAAAACAATAAGCAACCACATAATTAAAGGGGCAAATCCAAAGGAGAAATACTTAAGTCCAATAAATATATTAAGAGACATTATTCTTCATGCATTCATCATGATATGCAAATACAGCATCATTGGGACCCATGTCTCATACATTAGATCGGTTAATACTGAAAAGATTGATAATACCCAGTAGTTGCAAGGTGGTAGGGAAGACACATTTCTATATGTGATGGTGGGAATGTAATTTGGTTAGCCTTTTGGGGGTCATTTTGAGACTAAATATTTAAATAACCCAGCAATTCCACATCTAGAAGTCCATTCTACAAAGCAACCTAACCATAGATATGTGCACAAAGTGTTTTCTGTAAAACAGAAAAATTAGAATCAACTGAATGTGTGCCTATAAGGGTTCGGTGAGATGAATTCTGATTTAACCATACTAGAGCATGCAATGCATTGTCAGTAAGGATGAAATAGTTCTGCATGTACCAATTATGAAAGGTGCTTGTGACAAACATGTCACTGAGTTACAACATTGTCACATAGGTGCATGCAAGGATAGTTTAATTTGAGTTTTAAGAAAATTCTTCACATTATGTAAGGAATGGAGAATTCTTAACTTTTTTTAATGAACTTTTATGTTGCTTCAAATGTTATTGGTCTTGTCTTTTAAAAATGCTTGAATTAGCTGAAGTATTCAAAATGAAGTATCTCTCTATCAGTCCACGTCTCCAACTTTCCTGCCAACAATGGGGTCCAAAGCTACTCCTCACCTCTCCTCTGTATATAAAAGTTCCCTGGAGGAGAACCTGAGTGGCTCAGTCAGTTAAGCCTCCAACTCTTGATTTTGGATCAGATCATCGTCTCTCGTGAGATTGAGCCCCAACGTTGGGCTCTACGCTGATAGCACAGAGTGCTTGGGATTTTCTCTCTCCCTCTCTCTCTGCTCCTCCCCTGCTTGCTCGCTTTCTCTCTCTCTCTTTCTCTCTCTCTCTCTCTTTCTCTCAAAAATAAATAAATAAACTTAAATTTCCCTGAAAGATTTTAGAAAACAGTGATGCCTATGCTCCATCTAAGAACAAGTAAGTTGAATCTCAGGGGCACCCAATGCATGGTCCACGGACCAGGGGCATCAACAGCATCTGAGTTTGTTAGAAGTGCAAGCTTTCCGGCCCCACCCCAGACCTACTCCATCAAAGTGTGCATCTTAAATCACACCCCCCCAGGCAATTCATTTGCACATTAGATTAAGAAATGTTGACTATTCCATTTAGTGACCTTAGGGTCTGGAGAGTCCACTTTCCTCAGCTGTAAAATAGGGGAAAATAATATCTCTGAAAGCTAAGTGAGCTTCTGTGTGTCAAGTGTCCAGTGTCCCACCAGGCATATAGTAGGGACCCAGTAAATGGTAACTTTGGCATGCTGGTTACTTCCAACTTTGTACCTCAAAAGTGGACGGCTCACCCATCTGACCTCCACTGGCCACCTCACCAGGAACTCCTGTGCTCTGCGTTCTCTCTGTGAGACATACAGACCAATGACCAGGGTGAACGAGGTGGTGGCTACTCTCCAGCGCACCCATGTGCTTCTGCTCCCACGGGTTCAGCTGTGTGTTTACCAAGAGGCAGCTGGGTATGTTCCCAAACCTGTTTATTCCAGTCCCACTTGTTATTGAATTACATAATTTAATTAAATATTATGTAAACCAATGAAGTAGGAGTCTAAAAAGTAAACTGTTCCCATGAAATCCTACATTGGAGGCTTTCAAAAGATCCAATAAATGCAAGTTTCTAAAAGTGGGCATGGATGAGACAGCTGTAGAAGAGAAAAGAAATCATACATATGTACAACTGTATTCAGGTTGCTTTGCAAGGTTTGCAAATTTTTCCGTCCAACACAAGGAAACCAAAATCAAATTCACAGTTGATGTTTTGTGTGTGAGTTTAAGAAAGTTCCATCCACCTGTACTCTCACAGAAGGTCTTGGCTCTATGTCAAAAGATTGGGGGAGGGGGTGAGTATTTATCTGTTTCAAGTTAAAATAAAGTGTCTCCGGTATGGACAGGCATCTCTTGGGAAGACTTCCCATGT